GTTGCCTATCAAATCCTTCGTATTTGTTAACAGTTTTATTTTACACTTTTACTTTATTTCAGCAAAAAGAATTATTTCTTCTTATTATTAAGACAATTATATGCTTAATATTATAAAAAAATTATAGAAATAATAAAGTTATGTATTAAAGTTGTGTGTTGTTATATAATTTATAAAACAAGAAAAATTATAAATGTCAATTCTAACTTACCAATGTAACCATTAATGCATCCAGCATACCTATGGTGGAAGCGACCGCCATTAGGTGGACAAATTGAACGCTCACCACGATACCGTAGATCGGCGATTCGCAAAATACGAAGGGCAATTCCATCTTTATAAGCAATTCCGGACAATCGTCGTCGGTTTGCTTGCGAAAGTTAACAGATGCGGTGCTGTAAAGCATCACCGCTGTCGAGTACACACCGATGATCAGTTTCGAGCAGCGATGCGCGAGGACCGCTTTGTCTATCATGGCGTACATGCTAGAATATTCGCGCCAATCGTTGGACATCGCCGTCAGAATATCGTTGAATATTCTGCAATGCAACACCTCGCAACACGTTGTAACATCGATCTATATTCACAACGTATCACAGAAAGCATGCTTTTGCGAAAGGAAGAGAAACACAAAGTTGATTGCCTTGTTTCCAAACCAAAAATACTTGCCTGTCAAACGCCTCTGAATTGCTACATATATTAATGCGCGCAATAAAAAGTAATATATTTATAATAAAATAATAATATATTTAATTAAAAAAATAATATATACATCACGTTACTAATATAAAGTATCTTTTCAGAAAATCAGCAATTTCCAAAATAGACATTACACAACACCTTGATGCAATCTTACTTGGCAAGAATCAGTGTATTTCACGTAACATTATTACACTCAATTTTTAAGTGCTAATTTAATGTGCCTCTTAAAATTATAAAAATATCATAAAAAGCATTACCGATTATTTACCCACAGGACGATCAGCTTGAAGAAAAGGAGACTATACGGCAAGGTGGTGCTTAAGCCGTCTATTAGATTTGGTAGCTCCTTAGTGCTGAAGTGCATCAGAAGATAATGATACTGGAAGATTAGTCCTGTTCCCATTACTGACGTCCAAAGCAGCCTGAAGAAAATCGGAGAATTCGGCCATATCCCAGTAAGACGGAGGCCGATTTTGACTGGTCGACTGACAGTGCTGGTCGGTATCATTCTACGATGCAATTTCGACGCGTTTTCTTCCATCCGACAAAGTCCGACAAAATGGCGTAAGTTCCTAACGAAACTTCCGTGCAATCGCTGCTCGTATTCGTCGAAGGATAAGCTTCGAGATATTAACGTGAAGATTGGATACGACCCCACCTTAACAACCGTTGACCAATCGCAAACGCTAGACGTGTATTTTCGTCATGTGCTTAAGAATGCAGAAAAAAGTTATAACGATCGAACGATGATTGCAGGCCTCGACCATAGGAATCGACGAGAACAGTATTTGGTAGTTTCCGGAACGAGAAAGCCGCTTATCACCGTTATTGTAGGTGATTTACTTTAAAAATGCAAGGAAGTAGAGAAAAGTTGCAGCGCGCCAGTGCGTGAGCAAAGATCGTCAGAGTGACCATCGTCGAAAGAACTTTCTGAACAAAATAGCGAGTATAAGTTCTGAACATAGTGCTGAATCTTCGCGAATGATGGGTCAGAATGCACAAGGAAGCAACAAGCAAGAAGATAAATTAGAGCTTGCGACATATATAACTTCGGCTTGAATGCGCATGACTTAAAGAGATCTCGGATTGAGAATAAAAAATGAGAGAGAAAAAAAGTGAAAGATCTAAAATCGCCAATAATATATCAGTATATAAATATGATATATATGTATATGTATGTGTGTATAATATTATACATGCATTTATCTTGGATAACAAAATTTTGATAAACTCTTCGATAAAACTTTGTGCGGTGCAAATGGTAAATACAATTAAATATGTAAATAATAATAAACTTTACATATTTTGAAGTTACAAAGATATTTAATATGTACATTTTTATGCACGTTTAATTTTCAAAGTTTATGAAAAAATAAGTAAACGTGTACAAAAGCGATCAGTGAGTAAAATATGGAAAAAAAATATTCACATAGCATGTGACTTATAATAATCTAAGCTACATATATAATATGCGAATATGTGTATATGTATATGTAGACTTTGCTGATGTCTTTTTGCTGATCAAGACATTGCAAGCAGCACCGATACATAAGAAGCAGAAGCTTTCAAAATCTGAAATGTAGTATTGTTTTATATAAAAAAAATGTGCGTTTAAAAGAAAGATTATTTTTAATATATCTTACATTCGCAAAAACTTCCAAAGACAAATCATTAAATTTCCCGATTGTTAATGTCAATCGTTTCTGTGATCTCAATATTAAAATTAATAAAAATCTACTCTCGCTGGGTTTCGCATTGTACCAAAGAGCCTCGTAAGCTGCATTTGCTACTGACTTGCTCTACAAAAATAAAAAGAGAAAACAGGTAGCAATAAGATCATGCTGTTCACGAAGATGAAATATTTAATCAGATCGTAGATTGTAGATTGTAAAAACAATCTGTTTTCTTAAAGATTACATTAGCATGTTGAAAAATTCACACAATGAAAAAATTTGCAATATAAAAATTAATTTTTATATATATATATATATATATATATATATATATATATACTAATTAATTAACTTA